GAAATCTGGGTCTGCCCAAGGATATAGTTAGGAAGGCATTAGAAGAAAATGCTGCACCTGTACCTGTCTCATTTATGATGGAGAGTTCTGTGTGTTATGACCTCGGTTTTGGGGTGGGACTTACTAAAAATTGAGGCATAGAATGTGCCAGACAATCAATCCTGACTTTGTCAGAGCCAGATGTTGGAGTGTGATTTGTTTTCTATATTGGTATAGGGCATGGCTGTCAAACTCGCAGCCTGTGGGCCAGATGCATCATGCCCGGGGTTTAGCGAAGGAGGGAAAGTCGCGGTATGTCACGTGATGATGCCATGACAATGCAAGCTTGACATCTCTGGTATAGAGATTGGAGGAATGGGATAGGCTACAATTGGTTCTGTAACCTTACTCCGATCACAGTTTGGCTTTTCTATTGTCCTTGGGACTGTTCCCCACAATTCTAGTTGGTAGTTTCTACTAAGTGTCTAAACATTGTTGAAATATTGAAATGATTCTAGATTAATCACAAAAATACTATAATCTAACTGTGAAAGCATATTAAGACACTGTAGTTCTGAAGGCTGTGAAATAAGATAAACACATGATCACTTTCATCTGCAGTCATCATCAGAGACAGGTAGGAATCGATTTGGAGACATAGGATGAATTTGTAATACAGGTAATCCTCGACTTAACAATAGTTAGTTTAGTGACCGAAGTTACAACGGCATTGAAAAAAGTGACTTACAACCATCTTTCACGCTTATGACCATTGCAACATCCCCTTGGTCACGTGATTTATGTTCAGATGCTTGACAACTGGTTCATATTTATGATGGTTGCAGTGTGATTCCCTTTGGCGACCTTCGGACAAGCAAAATCAATGGGGAAGCCAGATTTACTTGACAACCATGTTACTAACTTAACAACTGCAGAGATTCACTTAACAAATGTAAGAAAAATCGTAAAATGGGACAAGACTCACTTAACAAATTTATCATTTAGCAACATAAATTCTGGGCTCAATTGTGGCCATAACTGGAGGACTACCTGAAGTGCTAACAATCCAGTATCTCCAATAACCTGCAGTGCACATTGCCTTCCTGCAGAGCTTTTTTTCAAAAAAAGATGTTCTGTTTAGGATCAGGCAACCAGATGAAGCTTTAAAGGCTTACTCTGCATGGTTTAAATGATATTTGCAAGGTAAAATTGTTCCAGTTAATTCCAACTTGAATACCATGGTTATGACAGAATCTAAGAAGGATGATGTTAGGTTTCCATTTAGTCATATTTGGATAGATTTTATCTTGTGCTCTTTGGGTGATGTAGTCAGGTTATTTGGGTGTTTTGAGAGAGAAATAATCTTTATATTGATCTCCCCATTGATTCTTCAGTGCAGTGGTAGGATTCAATTTTTTTTAATACCAATTCTGTGGGCATGGCTTAATTAGCATGGCAGGAGAAGGGTACTGTAAAATCTCCAGTCAGAGATGGTATTTGCCAGTTCTCCAAACTACTCAAAATTTCTGCTACCAGTTCTCCAGAACTGGTCAGAACCTGCTGAATACCACCTCTGCTTCAGTATAATTGTTACATTAAGAAAACTTTTCAGCAGCCTTCAGGAACAGGTAGTCCTCTACTTACAACAGTTTGTTTCATGACTGTTCAAAGTTACAAGGGCACCGGAAAAAATGACTTATGACCGTTTTGCACACTTTACAACCGTTGTAGCATTCCCATGGTCACCTGATCAAAATTCAGATGCTTGACTGGTTCATATTTATGACAGTTGAAGTGTCCCGGGGTCATGTGATGTCTTTCTGTGACCTGACATGGAAAGTCAGTGGGGACATTGGATTCACTTAACACCTAACATAATAACTTCAGGGATTCACTTAACAACGGTGACAAGAAAGGTTGTAAAATGGGGCAAACTCACTTAACAAATATCTCACTTAGCAAGAAAAAATTTGGGCTCAATTATGGTTGTAAATCGAGGGCCACCTGTAGTTGCTATAGTCCTTTCTGATTTGTGTGTGTGTGTGTGTATACATATATACTGTATATCAGATATCTGTGTGTGTGTGTGTGTGTGTGTGTAAATTAATTAATTAAAATAAATAAAATATATTGAAAAAGCAATGCAGGAGTTCCTCAAAGCTTTACTGGCTTCTCATGAAACCACTCAGAGAGGTCATCCAGGGGTTCGAGCTTATGCGAATAATAAGTGCTCTGCTTCTCATTTCCTTCAGCTAGTCCCAGGAGGCTATAGAAATCTTGAAAAGCTACAGTAGTGGTTAAAAAAGTGAGGGAAGAAACTACATAATTAAAATAGTAAACATGACAAAAAAGAGGAGAGCTAAAAAGGAGATCCTTATTAGTGTCCATTTAATATCAATAAAGAATTATTTCCGTTCTTATGTTCTTTAATTTAATCCAGACATGAGAGAAAGACTGTGAGTGGAGAAAGATAGATAGATATGTAAGAATGAGTCATCACAGAGAATGGATTGCAAGCTGTGCAATTAAAAAAAAAAAAAAGCATTGAAGAGTTTGCTTGGAACTACTTACAAGCTATGATACAGCAGATAACATCAGTTAGCAGGGCCTTTTTTTTTTTAAAGCAATGGCTTACTTGTCAGTTGTATGAAACTTGATAAAGTCAGGTTAGTTAGAATAAATGCCTATGGAGTTCTCAATCAACCAGGTTATGGTTGTCCCAAAGGTGCTTTTTCCAAAAAGCAACTGGAACTTCTTGCTTTTCTTTTTTTCCTTTGAAAACGTTTTGCTTTTCATCTAAGAAGCTTCTTCAGTCCTGGTGAGAGAATGGAACTGGTGGAGAATGGAAGGATTTATATCGTTTGCCCTCAGAAGTTGTGGGAGCACCATCACTTGAGACTTTCAAGAAGAGATTGGACTGCCATTTGTCAGAAAGGGTGTAGGGTCTCCTGCTTGGGCGGGAGGGTTGGACTAGATGACCTACAAGGTCCCTTCCAATTCTGATTATCTGTTAACCAGCCTGTTGTTGAGGCCACTTGGGAATTAATCTATATCTTCAGAGTCACCTGAATGAGAGTGCAAATGTGTGTGGATTCTTCTTGGGACTGCTGAAAGGACAGAGTTGTAAACAGGAGATAGGTGGTGTTGTATCGTTTCCCCTCTATTGAGGGAAGGCTGTTCAATTTTGCTTTGAATCACTAGGCAAGATAATTTATAAAAACAATGACTGAGCACATCATATAACAATTACAGAATAGTAACTTTAATACTTCCCATGTTTAGAAAAAAAGCATATTTACATAAAAGGAAGGCTGGAACATCTGGACAATTCAAAAACATCTGGATAAATTATAAGGCCTGGAGTAAATTCTCTTCTCTCTCTTAGCAACGTTAGTGATCGCTTATTGGCAGGGATAATCCTGAGAATGGAGGGCTGAAGGAAGATACCAGTGGTCCTTCAAATAGCTTTCACTTAAACTACTTAGGGCTTTAAAAGTCATAGCCAGCATTTTAACTTGTCGCAGCTCAGTCCTGTATACCAGGGGTCCCAACCCCCTGGGCCGCAGTCCATTACCGGGCCTTGAGTCGTTCAGAACTAGGCTGCAGAAGTAGAGGGCAAGCAGTGACCAAGTGTGTATGCATTCACTTGCCTGCTGCTTGTGTGGAACCATCTCCTGTTCTTCCCCCTCGCCGGTCTGCAAAAACGGAAAATTGGGGAACTCTGCTATATACAGTGTACAGTACAGAGGAGTTTATATTTGGATTCACATAGTGTTTGACTAAATGCCTATCTGGGAACAAAGAGGAAATTTAACTTCTACTATGCCCTCAAAATTAAAATGCAGCTTTCCTTCCATAGCCTAATGACAACAAATCTTGCAGCAAACAACAGTATCTGCAAGCACGAGCAGAGTGTGCCTTGAAATGCAATTTATTTTAATATAAAATAGATCTGGTCAGCGCCACAAGAATCATTACAGGCCGCCAGGTTTTTCCAGGCTTGAAGGCAGTTCCTGTTATTTGGGAAACTTTGCTATGCTTACAGTGCAGGTTGAAATTACTTTGGATTCACATTGGGAGTTGGTAGGGCATGGAGGTGCAGTTGGAAAAGTCAAGAAGGCAGCCCTAGGGATGCCACTGGAGGAAAGGTGGGAATTACATCAAATAAATACACCCATTTTATCTGTTTGATTACTGTAGTCTGCCTATATTTTTTTCTGTTTATTTCAGATTAAAACAGCTTTTAGTGGAAGGTGCTTCACATGACAGACAGCACCTGAGTATTTCTTTATCCTTCATCTTTTGAAATACAATAATCTCTTTGTTATCAAAAGCTTCCCCATTTTAGTGAGACATGCAAATTTTTTAGTAGGTAGAAAACAGATCAGGCAGTTTTCTTTGAAGCACAAATCCGTATCATATGTGAAAAATCTGAGAAGTCTTTTGCATGCCACAGATAGAATTTAAGGACCAAATCATTTTAGGCCCAAAGCAGTTTCACCTATTATGTGTCTATGATTTCCAAGAATTTGAATTGTTTCCTGTATTATGGAAAGATCATAGATGTTGTGATCTTCTGTTCTTGGGAGTCTGTTTTGCTTCTTAGCTGGTTTGATCTTTCTAGAATGGGATGTTATGGATAGATGCTGCTGCCATTGGTGGTGACTTGAATTATATTAAATGCTTGTTTGACTAATTAAATACTGATACAGAATTAAGTAATATCAGGGAATTGTAACAATGCTTTATCAATTTTCTATTAACGAAAAGTTTGCTAAGTAGACCAACTCTGCACGATCTGTCTAATAAAACTGATTTTTCTGCAGACATTTAGCACAAAGCTTTAATCTTTACTCTAGTTGGGAGAACTAGCAACAGAATCAATGCTGTCCTCTGTTGTAGGTTAAAGGTTGAATAAATGTATTTTTTTTAACAAGTGTAAATTTACATGAGAGTATTGCAGCTTAACTTGATCACTTAGATTTTGTAAGGTAACTTCTGGTTTGTTTTTAAATTTTTAGATATGGGAAAATTGTATCTACGAAAGCTATTTTGGATAAAACAACAAACAAATGCAAAGGTATGTTCATTCTTAATTCCTTTTCCAACTTTCTCATATATTGTTTTAATCTTATTTACAAAGCTGCTAAGTGCCAGCAAAAATGGGTCTATAAGGTATTAGATAAATATTTTTTTAAAAAAAAATACTAAAGCCCACATGGATGCTTATGATGACTCCAAACAGACTTAACAGGCATGCCACTGTGTGGCATTGAGCCTCTGTTTCCAAAAAGAAAGGGGAGTTTGAACACGAATTTTCCTTGCCTGCTGAGATGAGTACCATTTGACTGTACAAAGTATCCAGAAAGATTACACATTGTGTAAATTGGCTTTATTAATTAGAATGGGTGAGTGTTAAGCAGTTCTTAATTGCATGTTCCAGTCCCTTAATTGTGTTTGTGTTCTGTTCGTTTGGAATATAATGGGGAGAGGGTGAAAGGGTTTCATTTTCACTGGCATAATTATAGGTAGGAAAAATAATAAACTTCTTTCTCTGAGACACTGAGTACATTAATTTGGTTTGGTGACCTTCAGCATTCTCTGTGATTATGATTAGATCACTTCCTCACAAAATGAGTAGTAAGTAGAATACAATACCAAACCCTCACATACTGGGTTTTAGTCCTACTTTCCAAAAGCGAATGAATGCTTTCTAATCAAGGGAAAATTCAGTCCTGTCAGTTTTTCCATAGTGTGCAAGTGGGTTTTAACCTCAAGAGACCTATTAATCTGAAACTTGTATTTTTCCATATTATATTTTTGTTCTAGATTCATGATAAATGTTAGAAGTATTTGTTGAAAGATATGTAAAAAGGAAGTAAATAGGAAGTAAAAAGAAGATGCTTAAATTAACTACACTTCTATACCAACATAATTAGGAATAAGGACCACTAAATTCATTAGAACCTATTTTTCAGTGGGTATGTGTAGGATTACGTAGTAGAGTGTTGTATATATTTACTATTTCTCTTCCCTCCAGATTTTTTCTGCACAGCATATTCTGGTTTTTTAAATGATTACACATAGTTTATTAATTATTCTTTTTTTAAAAAAATGTATCCTATTTTGAGCAGTAGGTAGAACTAGCATTGACAGGTGTAAGTTTGCATTAATCAAAATGTCCTTTTTACGATGGGCTGAGTGGGCTAAGGATCATTCTGGTTCCAAGGACCTCCGGAGCTACTTGAGATATACTACTTCTCCTTCTTCCCAGGTTCTGAGTTTTTGAACTCAGAAAATGCTGAGCCTGGAGACCATTGCAAAATCAGGAAATAGATTTTTTTTTCTCCCCCTCTGCACACTGCCCTAGAGGAGAAAATGAAAATAATAAATCAGGAAGAATCAAGTCAGAACATTTGTCAAATATTGCTTCCCTTATAAAAGAAGTTATTCAGCTGGGCCTTGTTTCGTTTTGCACATCAGAAATGAAGTTGTAGCCTTGTGTTCATTTTTGTAATTTGTTACTCATCACAATCGACCCAGTATAATCATAGTCAAGATGCTCTTTTAAGTTCAAATGTCTTAATATAGTAAATATTCCACCTTTCCTCTGTTTGCCTATCTTATCTGAGAATTAGATGTCTCTTCAAAACCACAAGCAATTCTCCACTATATTGAAAACAGCATATTTAGACTTAACAAATATAAAAGGTAAATTGTTAGCATAGTACTGGTCCCCAAAATGAAACTAGGTTATTTTCTAGGGTAGTATAAGCATTATATGACCAGTAACAAGTTTGGGCAAAAAAGTTACTGTGTTCCATATAATCCATCCATCAATCAAATCAAATATTTATTAAAATCTCACTCAATAACTAGATTATTTTTTTAAAAACCATCTTAAATGTGCATTCTTATTTGATATTAATTAATTATGTATAGCTAAAGGGTTGATCTTTTTTGTAGGAAGAAACACTTGACGAGAGTTTAGGGATCCACTGCAATTTCCTTGCTGAATGTTGTACGGGTGGCATTATTGTTTTTATCTAGTCTTCCTTTCCATTGTAGCTCCTATCCCTTCCATACTACAAGTAGTCCTGACTTACAACCACAATTGAGCCCAACATTTTTGTTGCTAAGTGAGATAATTCTTAAGTGAATTTTGCCCCGTTGTATGACCTTTCTTGCCTCAGTTGTTAAGTGAATCACTACAGTTGTTTAGCAACATGATTGTTAAGTGAATCTGGCTTCCCTGTTGGCTTTGCTTGTCAGAAAGTCACAAAAGGTGATCACATGACCCCAGGACACTGCAATGGTCATAAACATGAGTCAGTTGCAAAGCATCTGAATTTTGATCACATGACCATGGAGAGACTGCAATGGTTCTAAGTGTGAAAAATAAGTCACTTTTTCAGTGCCATTATAACTTGGAATTGTCACTAAATAAACTGTTGTAAGTCGAGGACTACCTATACTCTAGACCAGGGGTGTCAAACTCGATTTCATTGAAGGTCTCATCAGGATTGTATTTTACCTCGGAGGGCCAGAGTGGGCGTGGCCAGAGTGGGTGTGGTCAGCTCGACATCACTCGTGTCAGGGGTGCCTGTGGTGGCCCAAGCCCTCTGCCAGAGAAAACAGGCTCCTGAGCTCTGTTTTCAGCTGCAACGGCCTCCTGTAAGTAACCCTCTGCCAATGAAAACAGAGCTCAAGAGGGCTGTGTGCAGCCCACCTGAGTTCTGTTTTTGCTGGCAGAGGCACCGCAGGCCAGTCTTTCGCAGTTTCCAGGGTGGCCCTGCGGGCCAGATCTAATCACCCCGCAGGCCGGATCTTGCCCCTGGGCCTTGAGTTTGACACCCCTGCTCTAGACGGTCCCTCAAGAATACAAAGAGCCTGTAAATCTAGGGGGGAACATGGATGTCAGCAAAAAACTATTCTCTTCCTCACAAAACGAACAGGGTTATAGAACGCAAAACTCCAAGCTGTAATCTTTTGATGTAGTATCAGAGGGGCTCTATCTATAAAGTCATTGTACAGTCACCTGTTTTTGTACATATTGATAAAATTACATTTTGGACATAGACAGTTTTCAAATTTAAGGGCAGTTTGTAATAAAACTATTTCTGTAGAAAGATTTCATTTAAAAAAATAAAACTAAAACTAAAACACACCAAATTATTTTATTTGTATCCTTACCCAGCCACTTATTTCAAATTAAACTTGGACTGTTAGAAAAGGTTTTGAACTATTTCTACTACATTTACTACCTCAATACTTACGTTTACTATAAGCTCATTAAACATGCTATATGAGAAATTAAACTTGGGGGGCTGGATTTAAATCTATGAAAAAATAATATTATTGATGAATAGCAATACTTATTCTTTCTCCCAACTTGTAATATTGTATTTAATTCTGTTTGAATACTGCCCAACTCTAATCTTAGATTTCTGAAGATCCTTTTCTGAAATATGAATACAGGAAATCCCAAATATTCTTAGTACCACTGTCACATATAAGTGGTGATAAAATGATTTAATTTAGTATACATGTGGACCAAATGTCATATTTCCATTACATTTATTGAATTTCTTGTTCAGATTTTGACCAATTCTATTCAGTCTCCAACTTTTCCCAATTTGTGCTATATTTTGTGAGGACTCAAATGCAGTTTTTCGTAATGATATTGCAGTGCCCAGCAGGACAAGGAACTTGGTATAAATAAATTTTAGCTGTTTTCTTCAGAAGGAGGAGATGTCACCATTTCAGCTTATGAAATGTCAATAGCACATTCAGTAGATGAGTAATGAAAGAGTTTATACTCATAAAATGGTGACTGAAGAGTAGCTGTACATAGAGTAGTCAATGTGAGTGATTATAAATATTCTGTCGTGAATGGAGAATGTTGCAATAAATAAACAATGATATCCACATAGACATCCCAAGTCAATCAAGTTTTTAATAGTGTGATGTCATTTTCGAATTAATTTTTCATTTAGTTGTAGCTTACATCAGTGATTTATAGTAAGATTGTTATCAGGAAGCTGTTTCATAGGCAGTTCTGGTTCTGGCATCTCACAAAGCATACTTGAACTAAATCTGAGATTACTCTGTTATGAACATACCAGAATTAGTTATTGTTATTCTTTTGCTAATACAGAGTATTAAACTAGCACATAGAGTTATGTAGATTTATAGCATGACTGTGCTTGCTTTCTTTTAAAGGTTTACATGATTAATCTGCCTTAATAAATAGTAGCATAAAAAGGAATAAAACTTAACTGTACTTTATACTTTAAACATTTTCAATTGCTTACACTATCTACACGATACTTTGTTTCTTTCTTATACATGCTGGGTTTCACCTTTTGGTCTTCTTAACTTTAAGCATTTTTTTCTTTATTACTAAAGCAAATTTGGTTATAACATTGATTTAATATTATTTTCCTAACTACAGTCAGAAATGGATGATGTTAAGCTGCAGTAAATAGAAGTCTTATAGTTTGATGTCATGGGAAGCTAATTTAAAGCTTTCATAAGAAAACTCAACAAACAGACCCAGTATTGATTGAGAAGAAGAAACTTTTATTTTGGACAGTGACCAGCAAATAGCAAAGTGAAATATATTACGATACAATAAGGGGTCCATGCAACTGTGACTGCAGTAATAAATTAGAACATAAAATTACAAACGTTAAATCTATAAAATCAATAAGTAATCTAAATAACTAAACCTAAAAGGAATCTTTTATCTTAATACATTTGAATTAATGTTTATGTTAATGCAACAAAAATACTGACAATAGACTAAGAATGATTAGTTACAGTTAAATAAGCTAAAATATAGAATAATAAAATCATGAGTATAAAATACTAGGGTAGTCTGCTCTCACAAGTAATTGTGCAATTATTCCCTTTCATCGTTTGCAGGTAATATAATAGTATTTAACAATTTTTATACAGGCTGTATAATATTGTCTCGATGAGACAATAAATACCTGAGTTAAAATCAATCTGGATGGCCTAGATAATTTGACACTATGTCAAATAGCACAAACAAATATCCTGATAAAATGGAGAATATAGAAGAAACTGGCCAATGGTTTAAACATGACCCTTCCACATTTCTGAAAAAGAATTTTCTTATGCCTCTTTCTCAAGGCAGCTGCAGGCAAAACATTAAATTGTGTTAATATCTTAGTCAGTTTATGTTTGGACATATCTATCTGCTTCAATTACCTGGCTGAACTAAGGTTAAAGGGCTAAACATCCAGGTAGACCACTACTGGCCCATAGGATTGAGCTTCCTAGCTTTCTGTATCTATTATTCTCTGCCCTACCTTGGCTTTGTCTTGGCCAAAATTAAGGCTAGTAAAGCTTCCAGAGAGTAGTCATAGTGATTCAACTTATGTAAGATGGAGCTTTTCCGTTGGCTGATATATTTATCAGAAATCGGAGGGATTAGATTGCTACTAATTTGATCAGTAGTTCAGGGCATCATTATTGTATCAATCCTGAGTATAACAGTTTCTAGATGGATAATAACATTGGGTATACATTGTGGTACCAGGAAAATATTTCTCAAAAACAGGCTGAAGGAATTCCATCAACGGTATGTTTTTATAGGGTCATATATGTGCACCATTCAGAAGACTCAGAAGACTGTAAAGGCCTCCATGATTACTTACAAGTTTCTAAGAAAACTAGGATGTCAGAATCAGCCTCAGATCTTCCATTCAAGCATGACATTTGCTGAATGGTATTCAATAAATCCTTTTTTGTAATTTCTAATGAGATCATTATGAGGACAAAATAAAATATTCATATATTGTAATACGCCCCCAATTCTTTAAGTAGAGTGAAAGTGAACATTTCTTATTAAACAAAATTCTTTTAAATTTTAGGTTATGGTTTTGTGGACTTTGATAGTCCAGCTGCAGCTCAGAAAGCCGTATCTGCCCTGAAAGCCACTGGAGTTCAAGCACAGATGGCAAAGGTAAGATAATATACTAGCGAAAGATCATTGGGTAACATTGGTACAACCTAAATAATACCTAAAGAGAAGGTATTTAGATTAATCATCGAACTATTTCATTGTCCATCTGTCTTCAACTAAGCTGTGCCTTTATAAAACCTGGGATCAAGCTGTTAAGACTTGCTGTGTTCCAACGTAATTTTGTTTAGGCACCTGTGTTAATTTGTTTAACTTGATCTAAAGCAGTATTCCAAACTATAGCCATTTTCATCTGTGTCTGGTTCAATACTCAGAATTCTCCATAATTTCTGTGTGGCTGCAATACTCTGGAACTTAGATCCATGTACCTAGAAGTTGCCTTGATGGAGAAATGTTGACCTACAGCCATATACACCTTCCCTTACAATAACATATTTCTTAAAATAAAAAGCACCATTAGGGATAATAGTTCAAATTGTGTGGAGTTCAGCTGCGGTATAAATGTTTAACCCATTTTGAAAATGAAAGTTATTTATTCATTGTTTTAGAGTCAGCGGACTAGATTATTTATTTTTATTTTGCCTTTATTATTTTTAAAACTAAAGCAGCGAACATACATAAAACTCCATTCCTTCTTCTGTTTTTTCCACCATAACAACCCTGTTGAGGTGGGTTGGACTGAGATAGCGTAACTGGCCCCAAAGTCACCTAGATGGCTTTCATACCTAAATCAGGATGAGAATGCAAAAGTCTTCTAGACTGTAGCCTGGTGCTGAAACCCTAGACCACTAGCTGAATAAATTAAATTCTAATTTTAAATTTAAAATGGAGACTTTCTGCATGCTTATTGAAGGACTTCTAAAGTGAACCAACCATTTAGACTCTGGTAATAACAGACTTCAGTGAACTCAGCAATGCTTACTTCCAAAGACAAATGTATAGTATTGCATAGTAAATTGAGTGTCTCATGTATACCTCTACGTACAGAGCAAACTATTATCCTTGGAAATGTTCTCACTTGAGATTATTTGATTTTGTAACCTTGGACCTATAGTTCTTGATACTGTGGCTGCTGTAAAGAAACTAAATGTTCTCTCTCAGAAACTATTCACTGTAATTGGCAGGTTGTCTGTCTGAAAAAAAACCCTTTTCCTTTTCTCTTGTCTTCAAGAAAAATGTTGAAAAGAATTGTTACAAAGCTGGTTTTATTTGTTCGGAAGTAGCATAATATCTTCTAAATTTATATTGGGATTAAATAATTTAAAGTTTCACTGCTACTATTTAAAATGATGCATTACATAGTTATCATAAGACCCAGCTTTCTTCAAAGGGAGCTTTTTTTAATAGTGCAAATTGCAAGCATAAGGAGAAGCTTGTTCTGGATCAGGGCTACAGTGGTAGGTAGGACAAAGCATTACATTGCAAATCCCAATAAGCAGGGATGGGATCCGACCGGTATAACTACCGGTTCTGTCACTCTGTGTTGTGTGTGTATGCGCCCGAGTGCAATTTACGACCTGAAGCGCTGCGTGCAAGTGCGCAGCGGTTGGAAAAGCACTTTTTTCCTGCGTTTTCAACCGCAGCTGTGTTGCGCAAAGCAGCTGCAGTTGAAAACACAGGAAATAAAGGTCAGGTAAGAGCCCGGGCAGGCGGGTGGGCCAAAACAGCAGCAAACATAGAACCGGTTCTATGTATGCTCTCTGTTTGCTGCTCTTCAGAGCAACCGGTTCTACAGAAGTGGACAGAACCGGTAGAATCCCACCCCTGCCAATAAGCCTTTTCATCACTGTTTTTAGAAAGGGGAAAAAATTTGTGCATGCAGTATAAAGATAATATGTAGATAGTCCAATACAAGATGCTGGAAGCAAGCATTTGATAAAGACCCTGAAGGCTATGTACTTGTAGTTACTCTCATTTGTTTCATAAATGGTGAAGGGGCATATGGAGAAAAAGATACGTTGCTAGTCTTGAATAATACATCGATTGATCTTTTCTATTTCATTAGATCCAATGTACAATGAATCTCTTGTTGAAAATGACAGGCAAGTCTTGTCCATACACTTAGTAGCTATTCATTTAAGCTGTCTCCTTTCAGGTTGAAAAACCTTTGCTGTTTTGAATTTTTAAGTCATTTGTAGTGATTATGTTTTAGAAAGATTAAATAGGGGCCAGATGTAGCCTTTTTATAATATTAGTCCTGTTCCCAAGTGTAAAGTATTGCAGCATTTTCAGTGATGTTGTATTTTCCCTAAGATGCTCAGCTGAGGAACAGTAGAGCTAATAGAAATGTCCTTGGATGAATTCCAGGAAAACAAAATATAAACCATATGTGCATTAATGCATATTTTATCACATGCAAAAAAACATTTGCTCTTTCTGAAGTCAAATGCAATGTATCTTGTTCCTTGGGTCTCTTTGTTATGGGTTGTGTCATATTGTTTAATGTCTATATATGTGACACCAAACAAAAAATAAAACTATTTACACATGTCTCCAGAGGTCTTCTCACGCGCTATTATAACTGTTATAAAATTTATATGTTACCATATTCAAACCACTCTAGCTGATTCGCAGTTATAAAAGCATACAAACAGAATTGAGGGCTATAAAACTATACAATTTCATGAAATCTGGTTAAAATTCAATTTCCAAACCTAAATTGCACCTTATTATCCATCATCACTGAGAATGATCAAGAAAATAAGCAATTTAAACTCAAAATAACTGGAAGGAGGAAACTATCTTTACAGACATCCTAAAAGATGGCAGTATGGATATAGATATTATCACATGGACAGGGTGGCCACTGAGAAGGTACACCTTCAAGATTTCTACCCCACCCATCTGTTAGAGGAGACACATGTGAAACGCCTCTTCCCACGCAGAACACACAGTTCAAACTCAATAATACTTAGAAGTATTATTTAGGACTTTCTAAAACCAGCACTTTGAAACCTAATGATAAAAGGTAAACCTAGATACTAAACCTATTGTCTTGCATCATGAGGACAAAGTCATAAGTAAGTATTGCCAAGGCCTTAGCTGAAGCTAAGCTGGGCTGGGTTATGACTTCCTGACTAGAGATTCTACCTGTTGGTTAATCATTAGTTGTGGTCCAGAAGAACCTCTAGGCTCCTGCTGTGGAAGGTGTGAGATCCCATCCAAGACCAATAGCAGAACCAGCGTGATTCAGATGAATCTTACCTCCAACTTTTGTTTTAGTTTATGTTGTACAATCTAGTCCCTCATAGCCTCCGTACTATGTGAGACTCTCCACTACATCTCCACATCAGCCCAGGTTTGGGAAGTACAACTGGTTATCGTCATTGTATTAAAGAGACTTCACCCCAAACCAACAGGTTAAATTGCAGGGAGAGACTGTCGCACCCCACAAAGCAGTAGCCTGAAATTTCAACCATTCATCTTCCAGCATTTACTGTCCAAAACTACCTATTCAGGAAGGAGTAGACATACTGTAAAGGAATGGTCTTTCTCCCAGGCCATTGCATCTTAACATATTCCTGTTAACAGGTTCCTGTTAAGATGCAATGATTGACAATATCAAATTGTTCTGAGAGTTTTACAGAACTGAGAGGACTATATTCTCTTTATCCTAGGACACAACAAAGATTATTGAATAAAATGGTCATAATTTACATTCACTTGAAAGAGATTGAGAATCCATTTTGTACAGGAGATTGTACACAATGCACTTACATAATGGGATCCATTTTCTTACTCATAACATTTAAAAGTTTGGACTTCATGATATAGCTATATATTTCCTACTTTGAGGAATTTAAGGATCTCTTTCTCTGTGTGTGTGTATATATTTAAAATAAGTATTGGTTATGTGGCATAAAATAGAAAGTCATAGATAATGCTTTTAAAATGCATATCATAGTAGTGACATAATTTGATAACCAAAGTAACTCGGTTATAATCAGTGCTAAGTATGTCTGATTTAAATATTTGGCTTGGATAGTGTCCCTCCCAGTAAGCATAAAAGAACATAAAATGCATTAATTTTGCATGTAAAGAGACTGAACTGATGCTGTTACCATATTAGTTCCAACATGCATAGATGAGTTAGCACATCATGCTAAATCATGATATAGTTTACTGTTTTGCAGTTGATTTATCAAGTGACATGAACCTAGCTGTTGTGGTTTGCAACCACTTTTCATATTGTATATGAATAAAATACACTTTATTCAAGAAATCATGATTAAACAGATCATAGATTAGCATGATAATAGCAATAAGACTTATATACTGCTTCATAGTGCTTTTACAGCCCGCTCTAAGTGGTTTACAGAGTCAGCATATTGCCTCCAACAATCTAGGTCCTCATTTTACCGACCTTGGAAGGCTGAGTCAACCTTGAGCCTGGTGAGATTTGAACTGCCAAATTGCAGTCAGCTGGCAGTCAGCAGACATAGCCTGCAGTACTAACCACTGCGCCACTGTGAATCTAGTCATATTTTAGATGTGGCCATTCGTTGCAAATTGATGTATCTGTGCCTGCCTTGTACTACTTTAGACTGCCAACTTAGGTTACGTTTGTTTCCCTCTTTTAAAAATGTCATTATGTAAAAAAAAAAAAAACCTGTGTCACAGAAAAGGCTAATTTAGGATTTGTCCCTGACCTCTAGGTTGCGATGATGATATTGGTGATGGTGATGATGACAGAATATAGTTGTGAGCCATAGTCTACATTGATAGATTATACAAATCTTAAAATATATGGTTTAGAAGGTACCTTAGAGATCACTGGGGGTAATATAGGGCCCCAATCAAAGTGAACATCCCAGGTCTGTAGTTTTGTGGATTTTAAAAAAGTAATATTCATTCAGCCTTTAACTTTTACATTAGTTATGCACAACTGAATGTTTTCTGACTACCAAATGAGATCAATTTTTTAAATACTTTTATTATTTAGTATTTTGCCTAAAGTAATTTCTTGCAGAGTAGCTTCGAACAATATTTATTTGTTAATTAATTATATTTTCCAACTGATAAATCCCTCAAAAACTCACAGA